GTCTGTGCTTTTGCTTCTTCTTCTTTTTATTTTTTTTTTATTAACTGTAAAACTTAAAAAAAAAGAAAATAAAAAAAAAAAAAATTATGACGTAAACTTTTATATTTATTTATAAACAAAAAGGAAAAAGTTTATGACGTAATTTGACTCCTCTTGAAAATTTTCTTAATTAATTAACAAAAATTATAATGATGATAATTTATATTTGTTTTAGAAAACATTTAACCTAATTAACAACTTCCGTGACGTTTAATTACGATGAGACGCCATATTAGATTGCGAAAAAACGAATAATTAATTTCGAGAAAATAGTCTTACGGTTATATTGAAAATGGCAGAAAATCTTCTCCAGAAAGAATTTTTCAAACGGTAGTTTCCAGTTTCGCTGGACGTGACATAACATAAGAAACGGGAATTCGAATAATCGTATGTTAACAATTTTGCATAACTATTTTTTTTCAAGGCGTTACGTAAAAAAATTTATTTCTTATAAAAAAAATTGACGTCATTGACTTTAACGTGACGTCAATTTATTTCTTATAAAAAAAATTGACGTCATTGACTTTAATGTGACGTCATTTTTTTTTCGTTTGATATTCTTGATTAACGATGCCAATCAATCTCAAAAAAAAAAAAAAAGAAAGAAATTTTTTTACTTTTTTTTTTTTTTTTTTAACCTTATCAAATACATTTATCATGAGAACGTGTTTGAATTTCAAAAAAAATGTATTGATAAGGTTTAAATGAAAAATGGCGGTAAAACAATTCATATTATTATTATTATCAACAAACAGCCGAAGGGTTTTTAATTTTAAAAGTTTGCCTTTTTAAATTATCGTAAAAATTTTAAATTTATAAAAAAAAGGAAGAGGGGAGAGGGGGGGTCGATATCGAATATGAAAAAAATTTCGTGGCAGCAGCAGTAATCAAACAAATCGTTTCGTGTAATTTTTTTAAAATTCGTTTGTATGTACGAATGAAAACAAACATTTTTTTAAATTTCATTCGTTTGTTTTGTTTGTTTTCCATTTTCGTAAATTTTTTTTTGAGGGTTTCCAATAATTATTGTTAAAAAAAATTTTCAAGTTTTGTAGTTTGTACGGATGATGTTTTGTTTTTGTTTTTTTTATAAATAATATTAGGGATGACGTTAAAAATGATGATGATGATGATGATAATAACGAAATGTGTTTTACCGCTACCGATTCAGGTTCAACCTGTACCCCGAGTTATCATTAATCTTCTTCTCGTTAATATCAATCAATTTGATTTTTAATGCCTCCAGTTACGAGACAATTTTAACCGCCACCTGGAACAAAACAAATTATTATTATTATTATTATTATTTTCCTATTTCGTTACGTCAACGTGAGTTAACACTTTTTTTTCCCCCTTTTTTCTTAGAAATTTACTTTAAATTTTTTTTAAAAAGTAAACAAACATAAGATCCGAGTTTGATCGATTTCAGGTGTTTTAAATTATTATTATTATTATTATTATTATTGTGTGTCGGGAAGGTACGTTAAAGCCGCAATCCTGGAAATCTAAAAAAATTTTTTTCTTAGTCAAACAACTATCGGTGGAAGTTTTTTATTGTTAAATGGTTGAATTAAAAAAAAAAAAAATTGTTTGTTGTTGTTGTTGTTGTTATTGTTATTGTTATTGTTTGTCAATGTATAAATATGTTTGTATGTATAGACAATCGTAACATCATTAATGTTTGTCTGAGCGAGGGCGGCGTTGATTAGATTAGTTGTTCACTTGTCAAAATGAAAAAAAAATTTCTTTTGATTGGATATCAAAAGGTAGACAGAAGTATTACCAACTTGAAAATTAATCACTGTAAATTTAAGGATAGGAAGAAAAAAAAAATGAGTTTGGTAGATGGACACACACACGCACACACGCACGCACGCACGCACACACGCACAAACATTCAAACGTGGTGTTTAATTTAAAAAAAAAAAATAAACGTTTTCGCTCATCTGCTTCGACATTTAAACCCCCACCCCACCCCACCCCCCGAACACTCCCCTTGTTTTTGAGTTTGCAAAAGGGTTTAATTTTATATATAGACATTTTAACCGCCATTATTATACATCTGTTTAAATGTAATTTTTTTTTCATAGTTTATTATAATTTTATATGGAATCAATCCCATTCATTTATTTAATGATGTTTATCTTAAGGATGATAACCTTATGATTATGCAATCAAATATTTTTTGCCACCCTTGTTTTTTTCAACCCTTAATGTCTATATTTACAAAAAAGTTAAATTACTGTTTTTATGTTGGTTTTAATTGTATTTAATGCGATACCATCCCCCCTTCCCCCCAGGAACGATAGTACTGTGATAAGTTATGAATAGTAAACAAAAGAATTTATTGATGCAGACAAGACAGAAGTTACGGTACTGATGACTTATCACACACACACACACACACACGCATATTGTAAAAAATGAAAGAAGATTTTTAATAAAAAAAAAAAAAAAAAAGAAATTATTTTCAATGTATTGGTCCAAGTTAATTACACGTCCAAACATAATAGAAGGTCAAAGATGGATTTGTAAGCTCGATGATTGAAGTTGTGCAAGTCAGTCATAGCTTATTAGCCACTTAGTATGATGAACCCCATGGGGGGGCCATGTATGAAAGAAATACCATCGGTGGCGCATTTAATAATCGTTTTTCCCCTTCCCTCCCTCCCCCCTATCTCTCTCTCTCTCTCTCTCTATCACCATATTTATTATAATTTTTTCTTCTATTCTTTTGATTCGTTTTTTTTTTTTTTTTTTTTTTTTTTTTTTTTTTTTGGTTGGTGGTGTTAAGAATTAAAATTGTTTATAAAATATGAGTATTATTTAACGGTTTTTTTATGTTTTCGTTAAGGAAAAATTAGAAAATTTTAAACGTAACGAAAATTTCGAAATCGTTATATATATATATACACACCCTTCGAACGAATTTTAAATTTAAACGGTTTTTTTTATTTAATTAATTAAAAATTTTACCACTGGATGGCGTTAAATGACAAATTAATGGTTTTTTTTTTCGTTTTTTATCTCTATGACGTTACGAATATTATTATAAATTGTCGCAATTAAAATAAATTTTTTTTTTTTTTTTTTTCGTAAATAAGTTGGCATCTCTGTATTAATGGGGGCAAAGGAAAAAATACGTTCTTTTTGTAGAAATTAATAATAATAATAACGTTATTAATTATATTTATTAATAATTTATTAATTACGTCAAATGTTTTTCGACATTTTGAATATAATCAATACGTTTCGATAAGTAGTAGGAGGTTTGCGTTCGTGAAATTTAAATTTTAACGGTTTTTTTTTTTTTTTGACAAAAATTTATTCTTACTACATCCTTAAATGAATTCGAATAAAATTTTAATAAATAGTATTTAGATTTCATCCCCCTAGTTTTATAAATTAGGTTATAATAAATAAGGGAGGGGTGGGAAAGAAAAAACTTTAATTAATCCCTTAATGCAATTATTAGGATGTAATTTGTTGTGGTTTTTTTTTTTTTTTCTTTTGACTGACGTTTTTCAAATGAATTCGTCTGCTAAAACAAATTTCATTTATTTATATGTTACACACACTCTCTCTCTCTCTCTCTCTAACTCTTTTATCTTTTATTTTATAATTTTTTAAAATCACCTGTTTTTTATTATTATTATTATTATTATTGACTATTCTATTTATGCAATCAAAAGTTCTATCAGTTAAGAATATAACATCATGTTATCTTTTATAACAGACCACCGTGTTGTTAATTCTTTGTTGTTTATTTGTTTTGCTAGATAGTAATTTAGGTTTCAGGTTATGTGTATTTCATGTATAAGGTATGATGTGTTTGCTGTACCGATTTCAGGCATAAAATCATTTAATATAATTAGATGACACTTGAGAATGGCAAATATTGTGATGGTGATGATGGTGGGGGTGGTGGTGGTGATGATGATGGTAGAGGTGTTGATGGTGGTGGTGGTGGAGGGGATGATGATAGAGGTGACGATGGTGGTGGTGGTGGTGATGGCGATGGCATTTGAAACATTTTTCAATTTTTTGTGTGTTCTCAAATCAATTGTATAGGAAAGAAAATGTTTTCCATTTTGTTTTTTTTATAAGGTTCACGTGTGTTGCACGTACGGCAAATTAGAATTTTTTCCTACGTGACCCTCATTGTTATTTGTATCTTTTTACAATTAATTAAACGTTAGTTAGTCATTGAAAAATCGATTGTTTGGATTAAATTAATTTTTTTTTTTTTTTTTTTTTGCATGCTCGCGCCCGCGAATCGAATTTTTATAATTTCGATAGTCATCATTGACTATCAAATTTAATTTAAAAAAAAAAAAAAAAAAAATCGAACTCGAAATTTGAACTCACACACACACAAAACCCGACGATACCAATTTACTTTTTTTTTTTTATGGTGAGTTGATTTTAAATACCTGGAATTCATTTATTATTATTATTATCATCATCATCAAAGTTTTCAACGAACGTATTAAATAGTAAGAAAGAAAAAAAAAACATGATTATTATTAACTTTTGTTTTTGTTAGTATTTTTTCTTACTAACATTTCTAACAAACAAATTCTGTCGTTTTTTTTTAATGACGTCATAAATAAAGGTTAAAGGTGAAAGGATCGATTAAACCTTTGGAGGGATACACCACGTTTATGTTTTATTAATTCCGGAAAAAAATTAAAAAAGATTTATAATAATAATTAATTTATTTAAAAAAAAAAAAATTTTTTTTTTTTTTTTGTCTAATGCCACGAAAAAATTAACGGATTTTTTTTTTTTTTGTTTTTTTGCATGTTTCGAATAATAAATTAAGAAGGATAATAAATAAGAAAAGAAAAGAAAAGAAAATGGAGGAGTGGAATAAGATTACACAAAAAGAAAATATTTGTTGACGTGAAGGGTAAGTCGAATTTACACGTTATTTTATAACCTTTTTTTCGTATCCTTTTGCGTGAAATTGTTTCGAATCGAAAGAAAAGGTTTGTTGAAACAAAAACGAACTTCTTTACTTACACGAAACACCTCGGAGAAAAAAAATTTTTTTTTTTTTATTAAAATCCCGTGAAAATATTTCCCAAGTTAGTAGCTCGAAAAGCTTCAACACGTTAACTACCTCAAAGGTAAATTTTTTTTTTTTTTTGAATTTTATTAGTTTAGACAACAACAACAACAACAACCACAAACAACAACAAAAAAATTGTTTATATATATTCGATTATTATACAGGGAACGAAAAATAAAGAAAAGGGTGACCATGGGAATTAAATATCCGTTGTTTTACGTTTAGACTATTTAGCCTCCAGGTTGTCCTTACGTGACCATCCAGGTTTTTTTTTTTTTTTTCTTCTGCTACC